CATAAGGTTCAATGTAATTACGGTTAATCCGTTCTGAACCATATGTTTTTTTTTAAAAAAACTGCAAAAATATGAACAAAATACAGCATGAAGAGAGAGAATGCTAACCTTGCTCGACGCGACTTCTGGCGTGGACAGGAAGGTGGGTGGGGAGGCGGATATTACTAGGAGGGAGGGTCCCCCTCCCTACAGGAAGCTGTGACCACGTGTCATGGGAGGGAAAATGGCCGCGGATCCTGTTCGTAACCCGATCCGGCGTTTGTGAACCGAGGCAAAATTTTGCGAACGGAGCTGTTCGTGAACCGAATTGTTCGTAAACAGAAGCGTTCATGAACCGAGGTACCACTGTACTTAGTTTAAAACCAAATCAGATGTTATGGTGGCAGATCAGTCTGAGTCCTGGTGTATAAACCTTTGATAGTAAAGATCAAATTTGATGAACAAACACATGCAAGTAAATCTCCTTTTTTTGGCCCTTTAATATTGGACTTCAGAGTGAGGGGAAAGCAATTTAGATGACAGATAACAGGAATTGGAGATAGTTGAACTCCCTTTATTCCTTTTATTCTATTAAAATACTGTTAGACTTACTATTTTGTTGCTATTGCACCCAGCTTGGATCTTTAGATCATTACCCTGGTGTGGATATACTCATATTTGATTATACATTGTATTTTTAGTTTATATTTCTTCATAAATGGTTGAAAATATTAAAATCAGAGCCAGATTTTTTAAAAACTTCTTTCAGATACCCTTCAAAATCTTGTTGGACAGCAAAATGCTCGCCATGGTGTAATCAAAGTGTTCAATGCACTTCAAGAAACCAAAGCCAATAAGCATCTTCTTTATGTGAGTTTAACTCAGACTTCATGGGGTTGTTTGTTGTTTAAAACTGATCCTTTCTCAGATCTTAGAAGCTTCACTCTCTCTTACATTCTACTGTTTCTTGAAGTATTCATAGAACTTCTTTTTACTTGGAATGGGTGAAACCCACTTAAGAGATTAAATGGAAAACTTTATACACACCTATATGAAATATGACCATGTTTCCTTCCATTTCTGTCCTTCTCTAGCTGGATTCTAGCTGAAGCAATAGAGGGGGAATGCATTAAATCAGAGTAATTTACTAATTCGTGAGGTCTCCCCAATCATACTAGGCCTATCTAGAGGTTTCTGGTGTCAGTTAACACCAACGTATGATAACAATTTGGTCCTCTACCATGCTAGAACCACCTAAAAATGGGAGAATGGTGGACAGCAGGTGACTTGAAGCCTTGAGTTCATGTGTGCACATTGTGCAGTTGGGGTTGCACAGAATCTGAAGTGGAGCAATCCTGTCCCAGAACAGATGATCTTTTGTCTCATTATTACCAGACCTCTTCATTATATTTCTCTACAGAGAATATTCAGATTGATTTTTTTAAGGTTGGCTGCAGGAAACATGCTAGACTGGATGATAAGAGCTTTTACTGGAAGGCCTTATTCTATGGAATGCTTATACACCCAGCATTTTCCCTATTACATACCATCATACATTCCTGAAACCCCAAGATGACTCTTCAGAGGAAGTGATTTGTGCTTAGGTCCTCCAGTTTATACAGTAATGTTTGATGTTCTAACGTCAATTTACAGGCAAAAAACCCACATTTTAATCTTTTTTCCCCTAGGTATTATTGGAAATGCTGCTACTTGAATTGTGTCCTGAACTGCGAATTCATTTAGAGAAGGTTAAAGCAGCTCAGGTTTGAATGTGCAGGTGAATTACTAAGAAGAATGTCCGTTGATAATAATAGACATTCAACTTATTTCCCTCTTTTCCATAGAGGGTTGACTGAAAACTTCTGAGAATTTGTATTTTTTTCCCTTTTTTTTAGATTTACACAAAGCAAAGCAGACTTGAAAAGAACAGATGATAGGGTAGAGTGCCAGCAATGTGTAGTTTCTGGCTTTTATTTAACTTGTTATATGAAACTCTCTTTAAGATACAGATTGAAATGTGAATGTTGATATAAGATATAAGAAACAAAGTATTTTAAACATTTATGAAAGGCATTTTGCTTTAGTGATATCTTAATGGATGTTGTACAGTTATTTTCTTCGCTGAGGATACTGACTGTTCCTCTATTTTCTTGTGTATTGAAAAGCCTTGTTGTGCAATATATGTAAAGATATTGTGTAAATTTTACTGCTTTTATTTTTACCAAAGATTTCCCATAGTTTGGAGCCTTTGTAAGCAATAAATTATAAAATAGAGTGCACTGCTTCATAATTACGTGTCTCATTACAGCTTGAAAATTTGGGTGCTGTTTCAGAGAACTGTATTCATTTCTTTCAACAAGGCAGACAGCCAAAATGTAGTGTTATCTTGAAATACATTGTGAGTGAACCAGCCTTAAGCAGCATATAAATATCATATCGTCCTAATAAGCTGAAGTGCAGTTAAATCACTCAACCCATTTTGATATTATCCAGGGCATGTTTTCTTTAATGTATCCCTTTTAAAAGGGCTATTACACCCATATCTAATTTTATGTCAAGGTTGCCTTGTTCATCTGCCAAGAACAGACAGATGTTATAGAGTTGTTGGAGTAGGAATGTGTATTCTGAACTTACTTTATTAACATGGTTATACTAAAAAATATTACAGTATTTTCAGGGTCTGTATATCTCAAAGATGATCCAACAACAGATGCAAAGAAAAGAGCCACAAGGTGGCAAAAATTAGAGAGTTAACCTTTTACATTTGTTTTAAAAAAAAAAAACCTTAATGATTCAAAAATCAAGCAATTTAGCCTTTTTTTTTTTTTTTTTTTGGAGCAGCAAGGAACTTTATGCTGATTTTAAATACAAAGATCTGCTGCAATGCATATTATGGTAATTATATAACATTATGGTAATTACCCATCCAACGTGTAAAGACCTGAATTATAATTTTTCTTCTACAATGCATTACCTACCCATCACCACTGGTAACCTTTGTGTACCAGGATTTCAGGGCTTACTGATTTCATGTAATTATTCAAACAGACGTGGCCTAGCAGTAAAGATCGATTTAACTATATGCAAATAATTTACCAGATATTTTTTCAGCAACTATGAAAGAATGGATATACATTTTAGGAAGTCAGGACTTTCAAAGGATGTTAAATTTAATGTTATTAATTTTACAAATGTGTATGCTGCTTACTCAATGTACTTTCTAATGTGCAGTGAAATGTTTTTAGAGAACGGTATTTTAGGCAAACTTATTTTAGAAGTTTTATAGCAAGCAAAAATAATTGTGACATAAGCCTACTAATCCAGTGTATAACTTGTTAAAACTACATCACCTTGGGCAGTATAGCTAACTAGCCTATATTTCTTCAGGATGACTGAACAATTCTTGGCACGTTGACATTCACAAACTGAAAGCAGTCTGATGTGACAACTGTGCCAGAAATAATCATCCATTTTCTTGTTTTCTTTGGGACCCAATTTTTAGCTAGAAGGCAGAATCCATATAAGCTGTGTGAAGTTACCTAATAGATTGACCACATTTTCCTATTGTTTGTGCCCAACCTGACAGAACATCGTAAGTAAAGAATGGGCTTTCTGTATTTCTTTTGTCATCTTCTTCAGCATCTTGTGCAGGACTACCTGTAGTGATTTGTGTTCTTTACCAGTGTATGAAAGGAGCTGGTGTAGGTTAATGAATACTTGGTTTGTTTTCTTTAAAGTATTGTCATGCTTTCTCTTTATCCCTTATCTCATACTGTATAGAAATGATCTTGTCTGAAATCAGTTTTGAGATTGCATTCCCTAAACCTGCTTTGCCCCTCATGATTAAAGCAGAATTTATATTTAAGGCAAGGACTAGAGACTTTCTTTTTCCTCTGAGAGGCTAGACAACCTTTCTCCAGTACAGCTACAAAGTCCTGAATTTTCCTTTCCTTTTAAGGAAAGAGGATCAGAAGAAATAATGTTTAAGGCAGAGTATTGACATGTCACACAGTCTTTAACCAAGGATTGGTGATTGCAAATGCCTTCAGAAATGTACTCAGTGATCATCAGTTCTCAACTTTTATTATGTTAACAGAATAAAAGAATAAATTTAGAAAAATTAATAGAATTTGACCAAACATAATGGTTATAACTTTACTGAAGGAAATCTATATGCTTCACTCTAAATGAAGGAAAAGGGAGACATAGGAAGTTTGTTCACATTAATCATGATTAATCAGAAGCTGAATGAAAAGTGTTCCTCAGATTCAGCAAAATAATACTCTAAATTCTCCCATGATTAGCAGTCAGCTCAAGATCAGCAGCTAAATCAGGATCCAGTCTACATGCCTTTAAAAACAGAGAAAAATATATTTAAAAAAATAAAATTGATCTTGTATGTATTGTATAAGCTCACTCTGCTAGAAGATATTGTTTCTTAAGGTGCCTTGAGATAAATAGCTGAACTAAAAATACTCTTTTGATCTCCTTCTGTTCCCTTTAAAAAAATTCTCTCAAGATAAACTGATACGGCAAGGTAGCTTCCCCACGTGGAAAACCTATCACAGAAAAGGTTAAGCTGAACTCTTTAGACACACTGACTTCATGAACATTTTTCTTGGGATTTGGTTCAACTAGAATTTGAAGTGAAATATTCCAGCAAAACAAACCCATTATTTAGATTATTATTAGATGATGATGATGATGATGGTTGGTCGCATAGTCAACCAGATGTTTAGGCTGGATTTGGCATTTTTATCCATCTATTGAGTCCTTCCCAAGGACCTGAGATAGGCAGATGTTGTTGTTTAAAGGTATTGTCACAGGATATAAGCTGTTCCAAGTAAAGCTGCCTTTTGCACTGACTGATGGTGATTTTGTCAATGTTGACAGTGTTCAAGTGGTGCTCCAGATGTTTTGGGATTGCACCTAAGGCGCCTATAACTATTGGTACTATCTTTGCTTTCCTTTGCCATAGTAGTAGTAATTATTATTATTGTTGTTATTATGGACTGTCACTGCATTATTGCTGTAGTTAAAATGAAGATTGGCAATTGGTTATTTTATTTGACATTTGTATTGGGAAGATGTCATACAAATAGTGATTATTTGTAGAGGATATTCAACTTAATTTATTCCACAGAAAATGTTCAGCTTTATCAGTCAGAGGCTATTGAATTTTTTAAAAACTAAAACACAAACTATTAGAATAATGCTAATTCATAGCTCAACCTAGGTTAGCACATTCCTCCAACACAGCCTCAGAAGAAATTAAAAGCTTTTCCTTCATTTTTGAGTATCTGCAGCTTGCCATGTGGTCTGAGCTTGGTCAAAAAGTGATTAATGTTAACTATAGTTAGCAGAAACAAGCCAGCTTCATGAGCCATAGCTCATAAAATTATTTTGTTTCCAATAATTTTAGTTAACATTAACAAGTGAAACCTCCACAAACTTTAGTTAATCTAAAATGGAGAAGTCAGGGAGTATATGAGCCTGGGAATATGGTAGACTTACTCAGAAACTGGTATTCCCTACACTTAAGATTGCAATGTCTCCTTCAAAACAGCGATAGTGCTGGGTATAGAGCAGTGCTGGTCTCAAATAAGCAGGCGAGCAGGTCACTTTGATTAGGACAAAGGGAGGGG